CCCCCCCCCCCCCCCCCTATTCGAAAAGGCCTTAGCAATATATCATGAGTAGCCTGCGTCGCATACTTCAAAACACATGTTTTTGAAGTATTGGACGCGGTTTATATCATGAGTTAATTTAAGAAACATGTATAATAGACTTAATTTAGCAATTTGCCCTCTTCTGATCTTTCCCTAAATGGCAAGACTTAGACCTTCCTGAAAATTCCCACACTCTTATCGCACACTCGCATCGCTAAAGTATCTTGTCCATAAATAATGTTCTAAAAACTCTATATTGAACATATAAAGTCAAACCGGATACGATTTAATATTATTGATGACATGAAGTATTGATGACGTAGACCACCATATGACGTTTGACCGGACAATAGGTTTATATTGTATTGATATATATAGTGGTATCGCTTTACTTTATTTCGAAAATCACGTCTGCTTTTGGGTGGGGTGTGCACACTAGCGGCGCGTATTGGATGATTATTACGTACTGGATGATTATCACGTACGAATACAAAGAGCCCTGCAATCAAATTACTTCGACACACGCAATTGACGCAAATCCAGGGTGTAGACGGAATTCAAGGGTGTATAGACGGAATTACTGTGAATACGTAATAAGCTAACATGCACATATTCTGTTATCACCCTGTTACAATATAACTCACTGTTTTGTTAATGTGAGTATAGAATGGAACAAAAGTAACCAAACATTGAAATTGTGTCTGTGTGTGAGTGACTTACTTTCCAATATATATTTACTCTTTTTCATTCACTCAAAATTCTTATTTTTAATTCTTTCCATCTGTTCTTATCATCCCGGATTTCCTCAAGTATTCATTTGTTCATTTCCTACATGAAACTGTTCTTCATTATTCCGTTTTCAACCCACAATATTTTATTTCGCATCACGTCTAAATGAACAACGAAAATAGTTAAATAGGCGTATGACATGCAAATCAAGAGTCGAAACAAATGCACTTCCTACATGAAACTGTTTTTTCCTTTCTTTTCTATTAATGCTATATAGCTGTTCCTTCCATTGCCTGACTTTTTATGGTTGCACAATATACAATTACACCTAATTACTATAATAATTTGAAAATCCTATGTGTCTATACAGATCATAAAAATCGATTGGATAATTAAAAAAAACACGATACATATAGAATGTTAAAAAATGTTGAAAGTTATTCATGCTCAAAGACAGCAAGGTAGCTTACTATAGCATCTTCTAAAATTTTCATTCAAAGACTGAACTTGTTTGAGATCGCTGTCTAGGCCATTTCAGAGTTTTATGGCTCTGTTATAGAAAGTTGTTTGGCCTGTGGCTGACCGAAATAAAGAAATATCCAGGTCATTGCGTGTCTGACAATCATGAACCTCTGGTCTCTTATAAATTTTACACACAAGTATAAGCTGGGACTATAGGTCGTTGAGTATATTGTATTGATATATATTTAGTGTCATTGCGTTTCTTTATTTCGAAAATCACGTCTGCTTTTGGGTGGTGTGACACTAGCAGCGCGTATTGGATAATTATTACGTACTGGATGATTATCACGTACGAATACAAAGAGCCCTGCAATCAAATTATTTCGACACACGCAAATCCAGGGTGTAGACGGAACTACTGTGAATACGTAATAAACTAACACATGTTCTGTTATCACCCTGTTACAATATAACTCACTGTTTTGTTAATGTGAGTATAGAATGGAACAAAAGTAACCAAACATTGAAATTATGTATGTGTGAGTGATTTACTTTCCAATATATATTTACTCTTTTTCATTCACTCAAAATTCTTATTCTTAATTCTTTCCATATTAAATCTGTTCTTATCATCCCGGATTTCCTCAAGTATTCATTTGTTTATTTCCTACATGAAACTGTCCTTCATTCCGTTTTCAGCCCACAATATTTTATTTCGCATCACGTCTAAATGAACAACGAAAATAGTTAAGTAGCGTATGACATGCAAATCAACAGTCGAAACAAATGCATTTCCTACATGAAACTGTTCTTTCCTTTCTTTTCTATTAATGCTATATAGCTGTTCCTTCCATTGCCTGACTTTTTATGGTTGCACAATATACAATTACACCTAATTACTATAATAATTTGAAAATCCTAAGTGTCTATACAGATCATAAAAATCGATTGGATAATTAAAACAAACACGATACATATAGAATGTTAAAAAATGTTGAAAGTTATTCATGATCAAAGACAGCAAGCTAGCTTACTGTAGCATCTTTGAAAATTTTCATTCAAAGACTGAACTTGTTTGAGATCGCTGTCTAGGCCATTTCAGAGTTTTACGGCTCTGTTATGGAAAGTTGTTTGGCCTGTGGCTGACCGAAATAAAGAAATATCCAGGTTATTGCGTGTCTAACAATCATGAACCTCTGATCTCTTATAAATTTTACACACAAGTATAAGCTGGAACTAAGTCGTTGAGGCACTGAAGATCTTATAAATCTTATTTAAGATGACGTAACACGTTTCGACGTTGCCGTATTAAATGGGTGATTCCATGAGCTATAGACTAAATTTTGATCAAGGCGACAAGAACGAAATCCAACACCACAGTTAGAAAGAGCGTCTTAGAATGAGTGAAAATGCAAAGATTGGTTGCTAAATGTTGTAAAATGACGAAAATATAGATTATAGCTCTGTGAAGTTCGCAAAATTTGTATATATTTGTATTACGCGCGGTAAAAATAACCAGATCGGCTAGATCTGTTGTCAGGTCTTCCTAGCCTTGTTTATTACGTTTCAATAGCTATTTTATATTCTATGAATTGTTACATGTTTTATAAAATTTGCAAGCAGCTACTGATTAAGTATGTTTGTGAAATACAATACAACGAAAACTTCGAGGAATTTGTTTGCTTGGCTTCGAGTTTCAATTTGTGTGATGACTTTGAACAGGTATAATCGAAGTTTTCGTTGTGTTTTATTTGTGTTTTATTATCTATTTAAAATTAAAGGGCCCATGCACAGTAATTGGTACCATACTGTTGTGGTGACCCTGCCATGAATGCATGATAATGGCGAAGTTAAATAAATAAAAAATAAATAAAATTTCGTGTATAGAGTATGGTTGAAATCGTCCATTGAGATACGACATTTAAGAAAACTAAGCCATGAGACATGAGTGAACAAAGTGTCAAAGTCCAAGCACTATATGAGTCATGCCTGTGCATGATACAACTAGAATAGTAAACTGGTTGTGTACATGTCAATCAATAGACCACTTCACTGTACCGGGAAAAAAAACTAGTTTGTCACAAGTGGGATTTAGCGATGAAACATCACAAACAAACTCACATGACTGCATGACTGAACAATCAAACTCGTTGTTTATCGATCGTGATTTAAACATGCGAGTAAAATTTGTACTGCAGCCAACTCAAGCATGTCACGAGCCAAACATTTTAATAAAGGGGCAAACATCTTAATAAAGTTTATATAAGAAAAAAACTCAAGCATATCACGAGCCTGCTACGATCAAAAAATATTTGTATTCTTCGGACTTTGTATAGACATCTTTCCACAATCAATTGTTGAGTCATGTGACTGAATTTGTGAGAAACACAAAAATATATGATATATATGAAATCCTATACTTTCCTTCGTGGGGAATAAAAACAATCTCAGCATTTTGGGCATCTACATTCGATAACAATTTTTCATAGAGCCGCAGGTTCGGATATATAAAAATTCCATCTACACAATCCTCACCATAAACCAATCTGCATGTTGTAACAATTAACATTTTTATGAATATTTTCATCCTCTCAATTCGTCTATTTTACTTTAACTGCATATGGTGAAATAGTTTCACTCAAGATCATTTGTTTTCATTGGAATGATTAGCCATTTGGACTCATTGCAACAAACTCTGAAATAGTGTATATACGAAACATGTGAAGTGTACAAGTGATGGACGGCTAAAGAGACTGATGATGAAGAATGAAAAATAGCCGCGTCATGTCGTAAAAACTGATCACAACAACGTTTAATTAAATGTAATTAAGGAAAAAACTCACAGAATGCATATGTTACCCAATCTATAGCGAGATCTATAATCAGATCAGACAAATTTTGCTAACCATTTTGCGAAATCAGCATGCGCGCATATATTCTAATGTTTCGCATAGAGCGAAATATAAAATCGTATAGCAAGGCTCAAGTGGGACGCACGCATATCAAGCAAATATTATGGAGTAAAGTCCAAGACCGGGTCAAAGTGCAAGCTTTGCGTGCGCGTGTAATATACAACACGTTGCAAACACGACTTGAGATTAATTTATATTGCATCATAAGTGATTTTACTGTTTCAGCAACCGCAAAACTGCGCAATTTTGCAACTTAATCCATGCCTGCAGTCTATAGCTATTTAGCTGTTCTGGTTTTGAATATATGCTATATCTCGCGTCAACGCCGCATGAAAAACATATAGCGCGTGATGGTGGATTATTCAAATCATTCAATACTCCGATCCACCAATATATCCACCATTGTCCAGATTAAATAATCTGTATTTCAGTTTAGTTTTTTGAACTCGTCTTCGTACTTTGTAGGCATTTTAAAAGTTGATATAATATATTTGTTGAGAATATTAAATTGACTGCCAGTGACAGTGTTAATAATTCATACTAAATGACCTAAATATTCTCGAAAAATTATGAATTCAACATTATTAGGTATAACTATAAGTGCATCTGATAAAAATTTCATGATAAGTTTATAAATAGTTTTTTAAGCCTCTTCACTAGATATCAAATATTTATCACAATTGACTGACGTATACGGTGTTCGCCCGCAGTACTAACAGTTTTGTTAAACCTATTTTTGTCCTGTTTGTTGCTGTAACTACATAAGCATTGCTTTATAATATTCTCGTTATTTTGTCAGAAATGTCTATAATCTATATATGATTCGTCAAACCTTTTACGTACAAGCTCTAACATTTTTGTATATTTGCATTGCACAAGTTTGGCAGTTTTGAGATGATATTCATGCGATGAAATGCACATTAAGTACATAAAATATGCTAACAATATCAATGCAAATAAATGAACTATGCACGTATTCAGGCTTGCTGAATTTTACTTTATAAAAGAGCCTCTATATCAAGCCTAAAGACTTATTCATTTTCCCCAATATAAATTGCCAATTCTAACTTATTTAATGCATATCATACGTATGGCATCAGCCTCATTGCATTAGGCTTTATATTTCTATATCCTGTGCTCTGAATATTGCTTTTTTTACCCTTTTTTGACTAAGTGTTTATGATATTTGGTGCCGGTAAGTGTTCAGCTGTATATATTGTTTTTCAGTAAAATATTTATCTCACACCAAAATTGGCATGATTAAGTTATTGTTTTTTTGTTATTTCTTGTCTCGGCATTTTTCTGGAATTTTGTTTTAAAACAATAATCAGTTTCTTCATTGCCCTCCCCAATGATGGCCTTGCATGAACAGAAGATTGGTTGATTATGACAATAAAAGATAGATATCCAGCTTGCTTATCGTTAGACTGAAAAAGGCATGCATGATCACCGATCACGTTTCTTCCACTGAAACACCCATACGTATAATATAATCATTTTAGGTTAGCACTCCTGGCTACGTGCATGGTTACGCCTACTCTCTCTCTGGAAAGGCAAAGTCCAAGTATTAAGTCCAACTATACTATATAGCCGTATAGGCAAGTCCAACTATTATTCAATCGAGTGAGATGTGCGGAGAGCTGCCAACAAAATCTTGATACGACAAATACAACTCCCGGATCACTGTTGTCCAAAAATCCAGTCACATATTAACATACATGATTATTATGGGTTATTTTACTGCCTCCCTTGCTAAAGCCTTTGACATAGTGCTTGGGATCATTCTTCGAAAATAGTGCAAAGTTATTGTCCATTGACAAGTCAAGCTTTTTGACGCCCTTTCTCCCAGTTCAGTGTTGCTAACAAATCCCAAATAATTTTTGGTGATTTTTCACGACAGAAAGAACATATATTGAGTTAGTGGAGTGGGGAAATCTCAAAATGTTGTAACGTGTAGCTCAAGTTCTATATCTTTAAGATTGTAGCCGGGCCAAGATATTTCGCGTATTTCCGTATGTGTAAAAGTTTGTAAACTTACCAAGAAAAACATTTTCAAAGGAATTTTAAACAACGCCTTATAAAGCAGGAAAGGGAATACCAAGAATTAAAAAACAAAATGTAAAGAATAGAAGTATGACTCGTACAAGGAACATTTCGGGCTACAGAAGTATATGTATATAGTTCGAACGGATGCAATTCATTTCGAAAGTGACAGTGAAAGTGTCTGTTTTCATTTTAAGAAACTTTTGTTTTGAACACTAAATTCTATTCACTGTTTATTATTTCCCAAGACAAACCAATTCTTCATAATTATCAAATATTCGTGTAGAGTTTCACGTTTTTTCGCTCTATTATTTTATAAAAACTTACAAAGGGTATTAATTATTATTATTAACCACATATTTGAAATGATTAGTACTTTGGATGAGTCTGCGTTTTACCCAAAGAATTATTGGCGAAAATTAGTTTCAAGCCTGACTGAGTCATTTTTAGTGAAATACAAGTACCATAGATCTAGTATTGCATGTTATTTTGAAGCATTTCGATTTAGCGGAAAGTGCAACCGACTCCAAGCAGTTTATAATGATATGCTATCTTGTAGTCAGGTTGAAGTAAAAATTTATGCTATGCATTTATTAACGAACTGTTAGAGAGCAGCGTTGTGATTGGCTGCATGATGTAAAAACGTCATATTGATTTATCCAGATTATGCTGGAAATCATTTAAGATATCTATGGCTGGAAATGCGTACGTTCGCTCAAGCATGAAAACGAGGCGAGGTATTGCGCAGTGGATTTGATTGGTTGAGATCGAATGTTTGTTTTGCTACGTCATTTTTTCTGACCAATCACGTTCCAGATGATCAAATTGAATTTTTATAAAGACTCTTGCTTCACCAGGCATAAACAGATAGCATACAGTATTCGAACGAGATCGTACTATTAAAGTTGAACATTTAATAAAGTTTTAAGCGAGGAATTATGGCATCGAACATTGTAGAAATGACGAAAGAATTGGCCCAAGATTTTATCTATTTCAAAGTTGGGAAAGCCAACCCAGTAACTAGTATTTCCCTCAGCGCCAGAACGCTTAAACGCGTCGCGACCGAAGTCGAAGCAAAACACGGGGACCTTTTCGAGAGCATGACGAGGAGAATAAGTTGTAGCGATGATAACATTTCAGAATCGTTCAAGAAAATTGTCGAGAACATGTTCGCAGACAATGTCATTAACTGGGGACGCATTGCAGTCTTGTTCACATTCGCTGGCCATATCGCGCTCTATTGCGACAGACACGGCTCGCAAGAAGACCCAGATTTAGTAGTTCTGTTGCTTACGGAGTTTGTCAATAGAAAATTACTAAAGTGGATTCAAAATAATGGTGGATGGGTAAGTCATTTGCTCGTTCTGCTCAACTAAATATTGTAGAATGTGGCTCAGAAGTGCTGGGTCACGTACAGGTTTTGTATACAGGTTTTAGATTACACTGTTGTATCTTGCAAATTGTCTGTTCGACTGCATTTTTCTAATGCCTTTTATTCCATTCCGTTCTGTCGCTTAGTTTAGCTTAACATTTAGTCCGAATACAGTTGGAATAGTCGCAAACAACTCGATCTTATTGCAGCTTAGCTTTACCGTACAGCTTTTGTGCATGTTAAAATTTTCTCACAACTTAAACTGATCTGATTCTTGCATTCTTGCAATTCCTTTTCTTTATTTCCATTCTGTTCTCTACTTTAGCCTAAAATATCATTTTAGTCTTATAAAACAAATTATTATTGCAGCTTTTTAAACCACCTAGCTTGATATGTACAGGTTTTTAATTTCAGACTTATAGTTGAAACTTGTATATAAAGTGTTGGTCAGAAATCTTTCTGATCGATGCCTTTTATTCAATTCTGTTATGTTGCCTACTCACCTAAAACACAATTTTGTACAGTATTTTTACCGTCGTATAAATTTTACACAATTTCAAAGGTGTTGTGTCCAATACAGCCAAATTGGCAAATATACGAAATATAACAATTTATTTGTACAGCTTAAATTTCCGATCAGTATGGCATTATCTTTCGAACTTCCCCGATTTCCAAATTAAGGAATCAAGTCCCTTTAATTTGCTTTCGAAGCATATTACTTTAGGAAGTTTATAGCTTTCGAAACTTGCTACTTTCCCTTTCGACAAAAGGGAAATGTCAGAAACTGTAAGGACTAATATCGCCTCTATTCACAACGCAAATTTTCACGAACTAATATATATATGACGGAAGGAAGAGACCTTTTTCAATAATACTATAGTATTGCAGCAAAGTAATGCTAGATGTTTCTTAGCCTAAGAGTTAAATTTTTTGTGCTAAGACTAAGTAAAAACTGGTTTCAAATCTTGTTCTCGTCAACAGTCCTTGTTTACTTGGTTCAAAGGACGCTTCGATAATTATTCAAGCTGTTCACTAATAATTCGGGATTTGTGCCAAATGTAGACAAGTCTAATGCTAGCCATTCTCTTTAAGCGCATAACTTTTCTCCAAGGATTAGACAGCATTGTACGCGAGGGATTATGAATTGAATTCCTTATCTTTGCAAGCATTTTTTCTTGTTATTAAAATTTGATATCCTTTCATTGAGCCAGCAACTGTGTTGGCGGTTTCGAGAGCGAATAAGATCGCAGGAAATTTGATTAAATATTTAAATGCGTCCCAATTTGCATCGTTATGACTGAAAGGCTTTTGACACCAGTGTGGAGATGATAAATAATTCAATGCTTATTCTCAATGGAAGCGTACACAAGACGCAACATTTTGGGGGGAAACTTTAAGCAAATTTACCCCCAAGTTTTTAATAGACTTTTTATTATGTATCGTTCAAAAACAGGGTCCTGTTACCAGCAGAAACGCGAAAGTATTCGATTTCAAAATATTTCCTAATGAGTGCGGATTCTTTCATCTCCGTTTTCGCCCCCGATTGACGAAAAATTACGCAGCAGAATGCGTCAACAGTCAATATCGTGCAGATTTACATAACTTTGAGACAGCGTTTATTAAATGTATTATATCCTCTGTCTGGGTAAATAACCCTTGTTTACACAAAGTACCGTGTTTTCCGTGTTTTTGCCTTTCGTGCCGTGTTGATAGTTACGATTTTTGTATGAATCGTGTTGAAACTTGCTTCAAACCTTCAACTATCCCTGCTATTTCCTGTTGTCATTTGTCTTTGTGGTGTTGTGTAGTAATGACTAATGTTCTTTGATCAATCACTATGTCAGCATAAATTCATGTGTTTCTGCCCTTCTTCCTGGGAACATGCAGTTTAGTACTGATAGAACTATCCAGTATAAATAAAGTTAGTTTATTTTAGGTTTCCTCCCGTAGTAACATTGGATCAATAAGAGATGATCCTTACTGAACCTCTAGGAAGAACAGTTTAGAACTGATAGAGCTATCCAGTGTAAATAAAGTTAGTTCAGTTCTTGTTTGTCTCTTTTACGAGCAAAATTTTAACAACTTATTCTTATCTAATCTCTATAGGATTCATTCAACGAACATTTCAAGGAGCGAAAGGACGATACAGGCGTATGGTGGAGGGATGCGCTGTGTGTGGGACTGGTGGCAGGGGCGGCTCTCGTCTTTGCCAGATAGTAACATTGTAGTGTCCCCCACCACACACCACACACGCTTTTGGCCAAGAAAGAAAAGTGGAGCTGGAAGAACCATTGGTGGTTAACCCAATCCACAATTGGTCCGTTTCAATAAACGTTAAAGTGCAGCAGATGATAGTCAACTTCGGAAATGTTCATACTTCTAGAAGAAAGCGTTGATACATGTAGCAACCTTTATTACATCTGTCAATTCTGCGTTTCTTCTTGACCATCATCTGCTGTTTGGTAGTGCTTAGTGAAACTCATCAATTGCCTGTATAGAGACGTTTTATCAAGAGTTGCAAGAGTACAAAGAGTCATATTGACTGCAAAGACCTGGTTGTTCATACAACTAGTTTTACCCAAGACGTATTTTGCTGTTTGAAGGCAAAGAAATGAACGATGTATCTGTGGCGTGGAGTGAACAATTTGTCGCGAACTGTCTGTAGGAATTAGTAGCGTGAAAATGTGAAATATATGAAGATCACGAAGATGATGGAGCTATGCTTTGCAATACATTTCGTGCTTGGCATGAACATGACAAAAATGTAGAAAAATTATAGAAGAATTTAGCTAATTTTCCAAACAATATCTTGATGAATTAAATATAAATTGAAAAAGATGCTTCTAGAAAACCATAATCCATATCTTTTAAAATTTTGTATTGTATAGTTTCTCCAATTGTCGGAGAAATTATGCATATTGCCCAAGCTGTTAGCTCTAAGTTATGAAAAAGACGAAAATAGTTTGAAGAATATAGGGTTTTAATATATCGCTATTAAAACATATATTAATATCGCATAGTATTAATATATTATAATATCTTAAATCAAATATATTGAATTATTATATTGTAATTGTGTAGAATGTTATATTTCAAAGATGTAAATATATATATGACGCCATGAGAATTCATGTACAGTGTATTATAATAATATGAATAAAGTGTTAAAATATTTAATTTTGGGCGTGATTTGCATCGTAATTTATCACTGCGGAAAGAAGACTACATGTGGCCCACTGTGATATATCTTTGCTTTGTCGTTATCCATGCAAACATCATTGTAATCATGTGCGTGAAGGAGCTTGTTTATCTGATGCAAAATCCTGTTGATTTACATAAAATTTCAGTTCATTTTTCGCATCAGTTTTCTTACCATTCATGTCTGTAAGATTATTGAAGAATACGATGTCTGTGATGTTACTCTGAGTGTGCATCAACACCGGGCAAGCTGAAAAGTTTGCCTTACCACGGTTGAAATCGAACATCAACACACACACAAAAGTATTGAAGAATATGTTTTAATTATCAAGACGAATCCCATTGACTCTATATTCGTGGGACATGTGTACCTTGATACAACACGGACAGTCCAACATTCGTTGGTCTTATAACATCGTCCAACTTTCTTGGGTGCACTAATATTGCTGGGTCAGTTTGAACGTCAGGGATGGATTTGCTGGGGTGTGCGCCCCCTAGCTTTGGCCAGAGGGAGTGCAGGGGCGGGATGCTATTTTTCATGACGAAGCAAAAAATAATATAGACAAAATGAGATACAATAATTTGAGCAATAACATGATGATAAGAGAACTGTGAACAACAATTACAATTCAAATACAGTATGTTGATGGGTGGGCGGTACACATGACCGACACAACTCGGCACCAGAGCTGGCAGAGCCCCCTCCCCTCCCCCTACCTGATCATGCTGGAGGCATCCCTGTTGAATGTTATATTGTGGTTTGCACATGAACAACTCTTATATTTGGAATGTGTCCCTCACCCAACATGGCCGCCGCATCTTTGTCTTATCAATCTCGAGACAACGGAGACATTGATTGCAAGATTGCAAACCACCAATTTTGTGATGCTGGACCAGGCTTATTCTCATTCGTCCAACGTTAATGGACCAATAAGATTTAACACTGTCGCTCATGCTGTGTATTGTCTGAACAATCTTGGCAAAATTATCAATTTGAGGCTAAGCTATTGTTTCCTACACACTCAAATATTTGTAAAGGCAGAACCTTGTAAAAAATACTCAAGTTGTTGTTGTGGCCAAGTTTAATATTTTGTTTCCGCTTTCACCGGTACAAACATGTTAATGAACACCAGGACATTCCGCGGCAAGTTCTGAGTTGTTCCTAGTAAACAGCATCTAATAATTAACAATTGTGGAAAAATAATGGTAGAGCACATATCATATGACTTGTTTACGTGAAACCATTGGAGACTTTCTTTGTACCTTATACTGGATAGCTCTGTCAGTTCTCAACTGTTAGAGATCCAGTAAGGTGTGTACTGTACTGCACTGTACTGTACTGTACTTTACTTTACTTTATTTTACTTTACTTTACTTTACTGTACTGCAATTGTACTGTACTCTACTGTACTGCACTAAGTACAGCTTGTGATTACTACCTGTTGATTCATATATTGGCCTCACTGACGACCAGATAATATAAATATGCCTAAATATTTTCAATTTTCGACACTTGAGTAAAGTTCAAGATGCCTTCCGACTTGTTTTTAACTTGTTTTCAACCTGTTTTCAACCTTAGTTGTTTTCCGTAAACATGGTATTAACTATGACGTAATTATTCATCTGTACTTCGTAGAAATATAATAACATTATATTTAAGCAGTATCATAAAGTATCAGTGTCATTATATTAAAGTATCAGTATCATTATATTTTAGCAGTATTATTTTTTTTCATTAAAGCAGTATCTTAAAGGTGACGTAAGCTTAGCTATGTGTGGCGTGCTTTTTCGAAGAAAAAGTGAAAATATTGTTTAAGTTTTTGCCCCCTGTGTTCTCTTACAAATCATAGAGGGCATGCTGACTAAGAAAACAGAGCAAGAAATCATGCAAAATGTTTCCATTTGGCATGTGCCACCAAACACAAGTCATGCAGTGAACAATTTATGCTTACTGACGCAACTCTCTCTACTCAGACCACCATCACTGTCCCACATAGGGGCTGCTTACACTAATACATCACTCTCCTCCGCAGAGTCTGAATTATATAGGATTTGTAGAGATAATGTAGGGATAGTAGAGGACATTTAGTGGTGCGCGACGGGGGGGGGTGAGATCGATGGTTGACAACGTAGCTTCCGTCTTCCCATCATGCCTAGCGCGTTTAACTAACAATTACGTAATTTGTTTTCCAAGTAATATTACGTAATTTTACTAAAAATTCGTAAGGCTCTGCGGAGGAGATACGGAGGAGAGTGCTATAATACATCGTCTCGCTTTGCCAGGACTGGATGGAAAGCGGCATGATTTTGATGTATTGAAATAAATCACTGCATGGCGGAAGTTCCAACGCCGAAAGATTAGTGTAGAGCTTAGTAAACATCTGATTGGTTGATCGAATGTATCAAACTCATCTGATTGGTTGATGGGATGTATCAAACGCATCTGATTGGTTCATCGGATATATCAAACGCATCTGATTGGCTAATGGTCCCTTAATAGTAGCGGACGTCAAATCTGAATCTCGCTAATATTGCTGCTTGAACAACCTTTCGTTTACAATTATGCCATAATCTACCACTGGAAAAAATGTAGTTTTCCTGAATCATGAAATCGTGACATATTTCAAATCGTCAAAATCACATCCTGCCCCTCTTTCCGGCAAACCTAGCATCGTGTCAAAGCTCTTACATTATTGTCCCACTAAAATAACTACTTCTCAATAACTACAGCTAAATTTCACTAATCACTTAATTCTTGTCATTCTACGTAATATGCCAATTTGGAGACACCGAGACACTAAAACCCAGCCATATTATTGTTTATAGGCTTTCTCACCCCATATAGGGCATGGTGCTGAGTAAGAAAACAAAAATTTCAAACATTTAATCTCTCAACATGGCTGTTGTAAACAAGAATTCATGTAATCTGTTCAACTCCAGCGAAGGTCGAAATGACACAACCTAAACCAAACATCACCTTACAACATTTGATTGTCTTTTGACTAGCTCTGTATTCTTCGTTCAAAACACGAAATTAGAAATTTATGTTTAGAGTAAAACAACTGTACTGAACGTGATTTCAGCACGAACTCATTGACCTCTAACCTGTTCCACCCTGAGTAATTATTGCTTTATTATCTAATCATGGTTATCTATGGTCTTTAACAGCTTGACAATCGTGTGAAGCCGGAATATTGAGAGTGATTAGGAATATAATGCTCTGAGACGGTTTAAACAATTAGAGAATAATATAAGAATTTCAATCACATTAGAGAAAACAGTCATTTTGCCGGCAAGCAACATAACTTAAGATAACATATTAATTAGACCCCCTTAGGATATATTGCCAATATGCTGGAATGGCATAATTGGCATTGTACTATACTGCTGCCGTTGTTCACTCATTTATTAGACACTAGTAGAGTCATTTCCTCACGGATTTTATATTATGTCAGAAACTGAGAAAAGATATCTAAACATGTCTGAAAAGTGAAAACAGAACTGAAAAATACTGAGGGGCGGACCATTAGAAAAGTGATGGGGGGAGGGAGAGATGTTCAGCTTGCATGAACTTTTATTGTCCCCCCCACTCCTAAGACGTTACTTAATCATGTGTTGTTGTTGTCGCTGTTGTTGTCGTTGTTGTTGTTGTCGTCGTTGTTGTCGTCGTTGTCGTCGTTGTTATCGTCGTTGTCGTCGTTGTCGTTGTCGTTGTCGTCGTTGTTGTTGTTGTCGTCGTTGTTGTCGTTGTTGTCGTCGTTGTCGTCGTTGTTGTCGTCGTTGTTGTTGTTGTTGTTGTTGTTGTCGTTGTTGTTGTCATTGTTGTTGTCGTCGTTGTTGTTGTCGTTGTTGTCGTTGTTGTCGTTGTTGTCGTTGTCGTTGTTGTTGATGTTGATGTTGATGTTGTTGTTGTTGTTGTCGTTGTTGTCGTTGTCATTGTTGTCGTTGTTGTTGTTGTTGATGTTGTCGTTGTCGTTGTCGTCGTCGTCGTCGTCGTCGTCGTCGTCGTTGTCGTTGTCGTTGTCGTTGTCGTTGTCGTTGTCGTT